AACCCCCACCCGGCGCGTCGCCCGCAGCACCGGGGACGCGCAGCTGGACAAGGCGGTCTGGCAGTGGCTCAGCTGGGACCAGGTGGGTACCCGAGTGGCAGCCCCTGATGGGCTGGGAGGGGGGGGTCAGGCTGCGTGTGCCCAGCCCAGAGCGGGGCCCTGTGTGTGTGTAAACCAGGAGCAGTCTTGTGGCACCTTACAGGCTAAGCGATGTATCGGGGCATAAGCCTTGGTGGGTAAAAACCTCCTCATCAGAGACATGGCCATGCACTTGGCCAGGCGGCTTTTACCCGCGAGACCTTATGCCCAAAGCTGGGAGGGGGGGGTCAGGCTGCGTGTGCCCAGCCCAGAGCGGGGCCCTGTGTGTGTGTAAACCAGGAGCAGTCTTGTGGCACCTTACAGGCTAAGCGATGTATCGGGGCATAAGCCTTGGTGGGTAAAAACCTCCTCATCAGAGACATGGCCATGCACTTGGCCAGGCGGCTTTTACCCGCGAGACCTTATGCCCAAATACATCCCCGAGTCTTAAGCGGCTGCAAGACTCCTCATGGTTTCTGCAGATACAGGCTAACGCTGCTGCCCCTCTGAGACCGGCGTGTGAGAGCTGCTGGGTGTGCGTGTGGCTCTGCAAGCGTCTGGGAGGGTGTGTCCTGGGGTTTAACGCCAGTAGCCAGGCACCCCCAGATCATCTCTCGGACCTTCTGTAAATCACAGGCTGCTGATCCCACCTAGTACCCCTGCACCAAACCCACCAATCCAGGATTGGAGCCAAGTGTTACCGTAATAGCCTGATTCCGCACTATAGGCAAGTCTCTTTCCCAGCTACAGGATTGCGCAAAAGGACAGTATGCAGTGTTGTCAGATAACCAGCAGTGTTGTCAGATACCTTCCTCTGGAGAGCTTACTTTCCCTCCCCTTTTGTAGATTTCATCCCACTAACATGCATTTTGTAGTTACATAAAAATGTATTTTAATCATCACTGGACCCTGCTGTCTTAAGACTTTCTTTTTAAACATGACCACATAGTGAATGGGAGAGAAGTGTGGGTTTTTTAATGTTCCCTCTGGGGGTGCATTCATTTGACATGAGTTTGCTTTGCCCTTGATTACATGTGTGCGCATTTCTCTTCCTCATCTAGTTTTTTGCCAATAGTGTCAGGTTTGGTCTCATAACATCTTGTTCCAGTTATCCCAGATCTTCTTTACCTTCTTAGTATCTGATGCTTCTTTTGAGAGGTTGTCTGACTGTTCAGGTGATGAGGTGAGCTCCCATGCAACAAGGGGGAAGAGTGAGAACTGTGTTTTGAAAAATATATAGGGGAAGAGTGTGGCATGTGAAGATCCTGGAATCACAGAGTGGGTAAATAGCGTGTTGTAATCTGTTTAGCACATAATGCAGTCTGTAAGAAGATATTAAGGGGAAGTTGGGGAAGATGCATTAACTGGCCGATTAAATTACTGAATTGCTCTTTGTGGAGGGTGAACACTTCATTGGTTTCTCTTTTCAGATAAATCCCAGAGAGGATTCATCTGGTTCTAGTGAAAAGGGCAACATCAGAAACATTTTGTGGTGATTGACAGGTTTGGAGGAGGCATTTAATATGAAAAGGCAAAATTTTAAATGGGTAAACACTCTTTTGAATGTGATGTGTAACTAATCTGAAGGAGTACATCATTGTAGAATATGTATTGGAACAACTGAAAACTCTTAGACATCTGTATAAATTAGGGATAGCATTTACACTAACTCTATTTTTAAAAAAGCTGTGATACCTAATGGCACAAGCTTACCACCAGCTGGGGTCAATGAGCTGGGGTATCCAGTGGTATTACATAATTAGATGCATTTGGATGTTTGAATGCTTTGGATGTTTGAATGCTTTCATCTGACGCACTGAATATTAGCTGTTGTCCCTGATAACAGACTACATAGAAGGCTCATTAATTTGTTTTGATATGAGAGTACCTTTGTTAGGCTTGATCCTA